TTCTGATTCTGATTCTGAACTCACAGAGTGCGGCCCGTCGATGACCTTCACGATGTCTTTGACGTGGATGTTGTTCTGCTCCGAGTCCAGAGCCACAGCGAAGCGGTTGTCCTTCCTGCGGTTCACCGCCTGATGCCGCACCGTCATAACCTTCCCGTGCATGTTCAGCACCTGAGAGACGCAGGACGCCGTCACTAACCTTCTCCCTATTGGTTGTGAATGTTTGGGGTCTACTTGGTTTCAGACTATTACCTGAAACGTCTCCCTCTCCAGTCGGACGATGACTCCGACGGTCTGCGGGTCCAGTTGGACCAGCTCGCCCCACTCGTGCTGCCCTCCCGCGTCGACGCCCGACGCTGTCTCCGAGCAGAGCTGCAGGTCTCTGGGCAACACCTTCAGCTGCAGGCGCACAGGGTGAGACAGGGGTCAGAGGTCAAACCACAAGAACACGAGACTTCTTCGGGTCAGAAAAATAAAAACTAATACAAAATAAACATCACATTTCAAAATGTATGTGACAACACGGGCGGCGCGAGGCCTTCTTGATTTTAAGAAGGCGTAATAAACACCGTAGGTTGATACCTGAGCAGCTTTCAATTCATGTGTGGTGAAAACAAACTAAAAGAATTGTTGATTTTTAAAGTTAAGATTTTAAAGATGTAAACTTTGGAAGACTGAAATGGTCAGTTTAAACACCAAAAAGGAAAACCAGTGGTATATATTTTCTATGTATTATTCTTTATTGTACTTTTTGTCCACGTGTGCTGCTGTGTCTGACTTAGACAATAAAGGAATTTATCTTAGTGCGCATGGTTGTTACGAATTAAATATATAATAAAGACAGACAATTGTGTAAGAAGTGTTATAAAAGATCTCCCTTAAGGGAAAAGGAAGCACTGATAATTAGACGTAATAAATCTACTGGGAATAACTTGATAACGTTGATGGAACTGCCATAAATCAATGCTGCTCATTAATTACATCTGATTGCCTGCAGGTCCTTTAGAGGCTGTTTTTAAAACTCATAAACTCACCAACTCTCTTAAACATCATTATTTCTGCCAGGACTCTGGTTGTCCTCATGTTTGTAAAGCTTTGTTTCATTGATTTCAAGGGGAATCCAACTCTGTGGCTTGTGTGGGTCATGTAGAGGCATCAACGGAGACTGCTTCATAAACTCCTATATTCTCCTAATGTCTAACGTCAGTGGGAGGTTTGTTTCACCAACCGGATCATTATAAAGGTGACAATCTCAGGCAAGTACAGTCAACAGTAAAACCTGTGTGTAAAGTATGTAAACGACGGAGCGGGCACCTCGTGCATGGTGAGGTCGGAGAAGAGGATGACGAAGTTCTCCTCCACTCTGACGATGAGGCCTGTGTCGCCCTCGTACCGCCCGGCGATCACCTTCACGTGGTCGCCCATCCGGAAATATTTCCTCAACTCGTGAGCCGGGAACTCCAGCGGGTCCTGACACACACACACACACAACACAACACACACACACCAGCACAGCAGGGGACAGCTTGGTTGGCTAACTTAGGGTCCAGGGTGTGCTCAATATTCAGGTGATTATACACTAATGAAAACACGCCTATAGATATAATATTACATTTCTGACAATAGCCCCTCCTAAATGTTACACAGTGGACCTTTAAACCATTGTAGCGGGGACATGTTGACCAGTCGCCGTTACTTAGACGGACTGTTTGAAGGTTACCTTGAGGTCTTCGTGTTTGGGCATGATGGTGATCTTGTTGCCGTCCACACTGAGGATTTTTCCCTGCAGGTTGATCAACTCTCCCTCACACACCTCCACGTTGTCACCGGCCTGCAGGTTGTGTTCCCGCTCCTTACCTGCACACACACACACACACACACACACACACACACACACGTTTCAACCTACAGACACTTCACTGGCATCAGAACTGTGACCTTTAAACTTTGACAATCAGGGAAGGAAACAGTCATAAATCCATATTATATTTCAGTCTTCATACGAGAGCTGAACTCTAATAAACAGGAAGTTAAACACTCAACACTAATTAAATAAAAGCAGGCTGAATAAATAAAACATGCAAACTTTCTACATCAGATAAAATATTAAACATTTTCATGAATTCATCAACTGAAAACCAGTTTTAAAACCAAAGCTGAAGCTGATTTGTATTAAATTTAACGTTTAACTACTTAATGCAATATAATACCTGCCTATGATATATTATATATAATAACACACACACACACACACACACACACAGAGCGTACCCGACTCTGTGACCACCTCCAGGTCGATTCCTTCGGGCTGGTCCTCAAACTTCTCCAGCTCTGACAGCGTGGGCTTCACTCCATCTGTGATCTGTCGGAGAGAAACCCACGACCGTCATCCTCCAGCTCACGTTAAAACCCTCTTCTGGTTTCAGACTAACACAACTGGCAGTATTCTGAACTGAAAGACTCTCCTCACCACGGCAGACATCGCAAAGCTCTTGAACAGGAACCCTTTGCGGCTGTAACGGTTCCCCTCAAAGATCATGAAGTCTCCGTCGTGGCTGACCTCCCCTCCGAGGGACCTGCCGCCATCAGTCGGTTAAACACACAGCTCAAACTATTAACTCACTCATGTACGTATTTGTAGATCTGGTGTGTCTGTACCTGATCTTTTCTGCATCAAACAGCCTCTGAGCAGGTCTCTTGAACTTCTTCCTCTTAGCAAACCAGTCTTTCTACAGGACACACACACACACACACACAGACAGAGGTGTAAGTCAACTATCATACGATGTACCAGGAGGAGATAAAGTGTGTTAATGTGTGTTTGTGCTACCAGGCTCATCTTGGCCTTGATACGGTCCAGGTCTATACGAGGGATCATCTTCAGGGAGATGGTGTTCTGACTCGGCTCCACGTAGTCCACCTGGAGAACGAAGGACACATCTGGTTTTATCACCGGAGACTGGTTGATTATTAACTTAAATATTCCTAAAGTTCTCGTCCTTTAAAGAGGAATAAGAAGGTTTTGTGCCTTGACATCAGCTGTGTGTAGTCGGTACCTGAGCGATGTCGTCCTTGTACAGGCCTCTCTTCAGCCGGACCCAGGACTTGGGCTTCAGGTTGGTGACCTCTTTGACCACCTTGAGGACGTCCGTCATCTCTTTGATGGGAACCATCTGCTGGTTCCAGAGGCCCATCCTCAGGTTGCCGATGCCTTCGATGGCCGACTTGACGTGCGTCTGCTTGTACGACTCCACATAGATGTAACCTTTAACGTGATCCGGGGCGACCACGGACTTGATCTGCAGAGGCTGTGTGTTGGAGGGGGGGGGGTACAGTTAACAACATGTTCACACTCACATTATAGAGAGAAAGGATTCATCCAGAGAACACTGCTGTAAAGGAGACACACATGGTTACTACATTAGTACGATCTGATATTAACTGCTGCTGTTACATTCACTGTTGTCTCTGCAGATGGATGTGAAATCTGACGCTCAGTAAGAAATAAAAAGCATATTACAGAAAATGATGAAGTCCCATTACAGCCACCGTCTCAGATAATGGACGAACACTTCCAGGTTGTAATAAAAAGCTCAAGAGTTTGAATGCAGCTGGTTCATTTCTGCCGTTTAAATAAAGTTAATATGAAGTTTAATATAAAATAAGAGCAGATTCTTACTGTGTCTGTGAACTGGTAGGCGATGAACTTCCTCATCAGTGCGATGGCCGTCGCCCTCTCCTCTCCGATCTAGAAACACAGAATATGTTGAGGATGTGTGTGTGTGTGTGTG